GCCACCCTCAGAGGGGACACAGCTGGTGCCCCGGCCAGGTATGTGCCATGGTAGGCTCCGTAGGGTCTCTGGCCTCCCTGGCTGAGCTAAGCCTCCTGGATGGAAGAGGGCTCAGCTGAGCTGGAGGGTCTGGATCCCATTGAGGGACCTGCCAACAGCTGCAACCCCCTGTTCCTTGATATCTCTTTCTCTCTCCACCCCCCACCCCCCCCTCCAGCTACAGTCAGTGCAGCGGTTGTTCCCAGTACCCCCATCTTCAGCCCCAGCATGGGTGGGGGCAGCAACAGCTCCCTGAGTCTGGATTCCGCAGGGGCCGAGCCTATGCCAGGTGGGATACTCAACTCCTGACCTCTGACCCTCATTCACCCCTCCCCAAACCTTTTTTACTGTTCCTGGACAACCTTGCCTACCTCCCCTGTAGGCGAGAAGAGGAAGCTCCCGGAGAACCTGACCCTGGAGGATGCCAAGCGCCTCCGCGTGATGGGCGACATCCCCATGGAGCTGGTCAACGAGGTCATGCTGACCATCACTGACCCTGCTGCCATGCTGGGGCCTGAGGTGGGCAGCCCGACCTGCTGACCAGCTGGGGAACCCCCCCACCAAACTGAGACCCTGGCCCACGGCCCCTCCTCTCTGCCTAGACGAGCCTGCTGTCAGCCAATGCAGCCCGGGATGAGACGGCCCGCCTGGAGGAGCGCCGAGGCATCATCGAGTTCCATGTCATCGGCAACTCGCTGACGCCCAAGGCCAACCGGCGGGTGTTGCTGTGGCTTGTGGGGCTGCAGAATGTCTTTTCCCACCAGCTGCCTCGCATGCCCAAGGAGTACATCGCCCGCCTCGTCTTTGACCCGTGCGTCCCCTGCAGAGTCCCTCCTCCAGGGCAGCACACCTGAGATCCCTTCCTCCTCCACCTCCTCACTCCTCAAAATTGGGGATCCCCTTCTCCCCACTTGTGAGGTTCAACCTTGGAGCATTCTTACTTCTCATTGCCCAACCCTGACTACAGCTCAGACTTCCAGGGCTCTGAAGGGGACAGGCAGGGACTGTGATGTGCCTCTTTCTCTCTCAGGAAGCACAAGACTCTGGCCTTGATTAAGGACGGGCGGGTTATCGGTGGCATCTGCTTCCGCATGTTTCCCACCCAGGGCTTCACTGAGATTGTCTTCTGTGCGGTCACCTCGAATGAGCAGGTCAAGGTGAGCGCAGCTCCCTGGCCCCAGCCCCATCCCACGCGGGCTCCTGTGTTTGGGCCAGCCCGGAGCAGCGGAATGTGTGGGATGCCGCAGTCCCTGCTCCTCTTAGTTAGCGGCCAGTTCCTCACATCCCCACAAGGTGGCAGCCGTACTTTAATAACCGGATTAGGAAACCACCTGTTCCCAAACGGAGCCCGAGAAGCAGCCACACTTCGGTGCACCTGTGGACGTGGGTTTTCTTCATCACAAGAACAGTTACATACATGGGGAATGCATTATTTTATTTATTTTTATTTTTTGAGACAGGGTCTCTGTCACCCAGGCCAGAATGCAGATCGTGGCTCACTGCAGCCTCTACTTCCCAGGCTCAAGTGATCCTCCTGCCTCTGCCTCCCAAGTAGCTGGGACGACAGGCGCGCACCACTACACCTGGCTAATTTTTGGATTTTTGGTAGAGACTGGGTTTCGCCATGTTGCTTAGGCTGGTCTTCAGCTCCTGACCTTGTGATTCTCCTGCCTTGGCCTCCCAAAGTGCTGGGATTGTAGGCGTGAGCCACTGCTCCCAGCTCAACTAATAATTGTTACAGTAGCCCTGTGCTGATAGTCTTGGCTTCTGTCCTTGGTCACAACAGACCCACTTGAAGGGTCTCTGTCTGGTTCTATGTGTCACATACCCCAGAGCTGCGTGGTGCGTCGTTGGCCCTGATTTGTGGGAGGCATTGCTCCTGCTCCTGCCACTGGTGATTCCCTCTCCCTTTTCCCCTGACTCTGAGGCCCGAGGACTGGGCATCAGTGGCTCTTGTTGTGTTTGGGCCATGGCTGGCAGCCTGACCGTCAACACATTACCTAAGGTAGCTGAGTTTCAGTTTTCTCTTCTATAAAATAGAGGTGGTAATACTCGCCTCTTGGGTTAATTTGAGAACTGGTCTGTAAAACAGCAAGTACTGCACCTGACCCAGAGTGAGCTTAGCTCGCAGCCTTCCCTTTCTCCCCATAAACTCTCCTTCCTCTGCCAGCTGCCTTTCTTCCTTGTGCCTGGATGCTCTTGCTCTCCCTACCTCCTTTTCATTCTGCCCTGTCCACTGTGGGCTCTGAGCGCTCTCCAGCACCAGGCCCATCCTCTGCTCCTGGTGAGTCCTGCTCCCCTACCCCACAGGGTTATGGGACCCACCTGATGAACCATCTGAAGGAGTATCACATCAAGCACAACATTCTCTACTTCCTCACCTACGCCGACGAGTACGCCATTGGCTACTTCAAAAAGCAGGTGACCTGTGGCCTCGCCCCACACCCGTCCTTTGCCTGGAGCCTGGGATCATTCTGTCTGATGAAGTAGGAGTCCCTTTGCGTCCCCTGTTTCATCTGACACCTGCCAGGGAAGTCTCCATGCCATCCTTCCTTCCTCTGCTGCCGCTGCCCCAGGAGAGAATGGGGGCCTGTGGGGCCAGTAGAGCAGGCTGGAGGAACTGGGGGACTCTTGGGGATGAGTTGGGAGCAGACGATGACCTGGGACCTTTCCAGGGACAGTTTGAAGCCTCACAGTGCCCCAGAAGGAGGTTCAGGATCGGGAGGTGGCACATGGCAAGCACCACTGGTGCTCCCAGGGAGGGACTGCAGAAGGTGGGAAATACTTACAGATGGACTGGGTCATGACCATCCATCCCCCAGGGCTTCTCCAAAGACATCAAGGTGCCCAAGAGCCGCTACCTGGGCTACATTAAGGACTACGAGGGAGCGACACTGATGGAGTGTGAGCTGAATCCCCGAATCCCCTACACGGAGCTGTCCCACATCATCAAGAAGCAGAAAGAGGTGGTGTGCGCATCTGTGGGATTTTCATGAATGTGCCTGCGGAGGGCCAGCACATGTGTGTAGACCTAGACCACGTGTACATGCGTGTGTGTGTGAGGAGGGCACAGGCAGGGATCTTTGTTCTTGCTCTGCCTCTTTTGGGGAAGTAATGAGGGAAGGTGCTGGATTAGGTGGTGTTGCAGCCAGGTGGGTGCAGCTGATGGCTCCGACCATGGCCCCTAGAGGCCCCTGTCTGGGGCTGGAGTTGCCCCTCAGACCCTTCCTCCCCTCAGATCATCAAGAAGCTGATTGAACGCAAACAGGCCCAGATCCGCAAGGTCTACCCGGGGCTCAGCTGCTTCAAGGAGGGCGTGAGGCAGATCCCTGTGGAGAGTGTCCCTGGCATTCGTAAGCAGGGGTCTTGGTTTCGGGGTAGGGGTTGGGGGGCACACTGCTTGGGGTGTGGACTGACATTCTCAGGGATGTTCTCCCCCTCCCCACTTTGCAGGAGAGACGGGCTGGAAGCCACTGGGGAAGGAGAAGGGGTGAGTGTTTTGTCAAGAGAGCTGGGTTGGGGGCAGGGCAGAGGGACTGGGAGCCTCAGACTTGGTGTCTCTTGCCCCAGGAAGGAGCTGAAGGACCCCGACCAGCTCTACACAACTCTCAAAAACCTGCTGGCCCAAATCAAGGTGAGGAGAGTGGGTTTCCCTTCCAGGGCCCCTGCACCAATGACTGTGGCCTTTTGATGCAGTGTGGGGTGGCTGGTGGTCTCGGGCTGGTGCGGGTATAGCAGGGCTGTCCCCAGCTGGGCTCTTCTCTCTAGTCGCACCCCAGTGCCTGGCCCTTCATGGAGCCCGTGAAGAAATCGGAGGCCCCTGACTACTACGAGGTCATCCGCTTCCCCATTGGTGAGGACCCTCCATTCCATGCCCTGCACTCCTCTTCTGTCCCCACACCTGCTCCTGCCCTCACTGCATCCTGCAGCCCCATGGGGCCCACCCCGGCGGACAGCCCTGCCGCAGCCCTCAGCCTCTTAAAGCTGTGCTCCGTCTCCTGCTGCCCCAGACCTAAAGACCATGACTGAGCGCCTGCGAAGCCGCTACTACGTGACCCGGAAGCTCTTTGTGGCCGACCTGCAGCGGGTCATTGCCAACTGCCGCGAATACAACCCTCCCGACAGCGAGTACTGCCGCTGTGCCAGCGCCCTGGAGAAGTTCTTCTACTTCAAGCTCAAGGAGGGAGGGCTCATTGACAAGTAGGCCCCAGCTTTGGGCCGCAGCCGTGACCTGGAACGTCTCCACCTCAGATTCTGATCTGATTCTTAGGGGGTGCCCTGGCCCCATGGACCCAACTCAGCTTGAGACACTCCAGCCAGGGGCCCTGCGGCCCCAATCCTGCAGCCCTCTCTGGACCTTCGGGCACCCCCAAGCCTGCAGCTCTGTCCCAGCCATCACTGTGTGTGTGTGAGCGGTCTCCTGGGTCTGGGCCCAGCTCCTCTAGAGTGGCTGTTGGCCGGGGATGGACCTTGCCCAACCCTGGTGGCCCCCAGACCTGTTCCCTAAGAGCTGTGAAGGCTTGGAGTCCTGGGCCTGGCCCAGGTGGCTGTTTCCCCGAGGACCAGGACTGCTTGTTTTAGCTTGAGTGATTGCTGCAGGGGTTGGAAGTCCAGCTTGGACTGGAGGGGGCATACTTTGCCTGGCACTGTTCTGTCAGCCTCCCCCCGGGCTGGAGGGTATGGGACCATTCACTCCCTGGCATTAATCCCTCAGAGGGAACAATAAAGCTCTTTTTATTTCTGTGTGTGATTGTTTCTTTGGTATACTCCAGCCTTAGGCTCGCCTTTGCCCTCAATGATCTCTTACAAGCTTGAGGCTGCCCTCCCCAGCAAGCCTCAGGCCTGGTCCTGTGCTCCTAGGGTGATGGGTCCTGCCTGGCTATAGCCGCCCACCCTTCCTCCTCCAAGCTGCTCCTGATCCAGATGCCAGGGCAACGGGTCAGAACCCGCTGCCTTAACCTTAACCTGGGTAGCTGTGGTTACAACTAACTGCAAAAAGGGCCAGAGGGTAGAGGATCCCGTAACAGTGAGAATACTTCCCTGTTAGCACACCCTATTCTTTTTCTTGGGGCAGGATGGGAGTTTTCCTGAGTCAGCTCATCTGGCTCCTCCCCTCAATTTCAGTTTCCATATCCGATCTCTGCTCTCTCTGCTGAGCACAGTGGCACCAGGCCAGGCACGAGGCTGAGCTAAGGCCTATCTGATGGAGCAGGTGAGACCCGGGCTGGGCAGGGGGCAGGTGTAGCTTGTGTTACTCCTACCCCCACCTTTTGGCCAGAGCAGGCTCCTGATGGGTTCTGAGGGTGTCCTGCCCCACCTCCCTCAAGTAGGGTGGAGTCCTGGGCAAAGGGAGGTCTCTGCATGGACGGGTCTGGCCAGGAGTGGGATGAGTGGAGGGGCCAGTGGGTCTGAGTCCCCTGCTATTCCCAGAATGGAGCTGTGGCCCTAGCAAGGGAGGTGGCGTTGGCGCAGTGGCCGTACTCGCCGTTCAGGCTTTGTACTTGCGGCAGTTGGTGACGACTGTTGGCAGTTGGTGATGACTATCAGCACAAAGCGTTCTTTATCTTCTTGATTCTTTTTCTTGGGGCAGGGATGGGAGATTCCTAAGTCGGCTCAGCTGGCTCCTCCCCTCAGTTTCAGTTTCCATTTCCATTTCCATTTCAGATCTCTGAGCTGAGCGAAGAAGGGCCGCCCTGGGCAAGCTTACACGGTAGAACAGGTGAGAGCTGGGCTGAGCAGGGGGGAGGTGTAACCTGTGTTACTCCAGCTCCCGCTTTTTGATGGAGCAGGCTACTGATGGGTTTTGAGGGTGTCCTTCCCCACCTCCCTCAAGTGGGGTGGAGTCCTGGGCAAAAGGAAAGTCTCGGCACAGCCTGGTCTGGCCAGGAGTTGGGAGGGGTGGAGGGGCCAGTGGGTCTGAGTCTCCTGCTATTCCCAGAATGGAGTTGCGACCCTACCAACAGGAGGTGATCACGCCTGCCCTGGAGGGCAAGAATATCATCATCTGGCTGCCCACCGGTGCTGGGAAGACCCGGGCGGCTGCTTATGTGGCCAGGCAGCACCTAGAGACTGTGGATGGAGCCAAGGTGGTTGTATTGGTCAACAGGGTGAGTGGTCTGCCCCTGCCCGTCCTGCCCCACTCCCCCACCACCAAGCAGGGTCTCAGCTCTTCAGGCACCTCTCAGTTCCCACCAGAATTCCAGAGCTGCTGTGTCCATCCCTAAGCACCTGTCTTTCCACCCTGGCTCAATACCCAGCTATGTCCTGCGGGTCACCTTACCTCCTCTCCACTCCCCTGGCCCCAGATTCAGCTTTCTCTTCCCATCTTGTTCTCCACCCTCAGGTGCACCTGGTGACCCAGCATGGTGAAGAGTTCAGCCGCATGCTAGATGGACGCTGGACCATGACAACCCTGAGTGGGGACATGGGGCCACGTGCTGGCTTTGGCCACCTGGCTCGGTGCCATGACCTGCTCATCTGCACAGCAAAGCTGCTGCAGATGGCACTAACCAGCCCTGAGGAGGAGGAGCACGTGGAGCTCACAGGTGAGGGCCGTGGGCAGGGGGAAAAAGGATATGCACCCGGGGTACCTCCTCCCGCCAACCCCAGGGCACCTCCCGAAGTAAAGGTGGTAGGAGTTTTTGTGGGAGCCTGTTTACAAAACCCCGGCAGACACTAGCAGAAACAGGCTGGGCTATGGTATAGGATCTTAGGCAAGTCCCTTCCCCAGCTGAGCCTCCATTTACTAATCTGTGAAATGGAGAGAAATCACCCGTGCCTGGCTTTTTCCTGGGACCCAGCTGCAGGTTGTGAAAGGAAGAAGGAATTCTTAGATTATTGTGGGGGCTACCTGAGAGTTTATGGGAGGGAAGGGCTTTGCAAACATAGGTCACAGCCTTCCCCATTGTGCCCCCAGCCTTCTCTCTGATCGTGGTGGATGAGTGCCACCACACCCACAAGGACACTGTCTACAACATCATCATGAGCCAGTACCTAGAACTTAAACTCCAGAGGGCACGGCCCCTGCCCCAGGTGTTGGGTCTCACAGCCTCCCCAGGCACCGGCGGGGCCTCCAAGCTCGATGGAGCCATCAACCACGTCCTACAGGTCAGCCTGACCCTGTGTGCCTCCCACCACCAGACACACCAGGGACCTCCCTCCCTGCCTGCCTGCCTGCCTGCCCACCCACTACCCCATCCCCCCCAGCATTACCCAGGCTCTCCATGGCAGGGTCTGGCCCCTTCCTCACCTAAGATCCAGCCTCCAGTGGCTTCTTATGGTGCAAAGAATTAACTGTAGTTCATACTACAGCCACACTGGCCTGCCTGCTGCTTCTTGAATATGCGGGCTTCTTCCCATCTTGGGACCTTTGCACTTACCATTTCTTTTGTCTGGAATGCCCTTCCCTTTGAACTTTACCTGCTACCTCCTCCTTGTCATTCACTGAGCAGCTTAAATGCCACTTCTTCAAAGTCCTCCCTGATCACCCCCTCCGCTCTCTGTCATATCATCCAGTGCTAGCCTCTTCAGAGCTTGTTAAAGCGCTCTGCAAGGGTCCATTATTCTTTGCTGGTTTATTATCTGTCTCTCCAACTCCAGTCTGAGATCTTTTGTGTCCCCAGTGCCTAGAACAAGACTGGCACAGAGAGGGCGAGCAATATTTGAGTAGATGAATGCCCATGCCCTCAGTGGCTTCCCCCTCTCCTGTCCTCAGCTGGGATCCATCCTGCCCCAAAGGTTTGCCCATTGTCCCCACAGACCCTTACTTTCCAGTAAAGTCCTCTCTGTTGCCCCCAGCTCTGTGCCAACTTGGACACGTGGTGCATCACATCACCCCAGAACTGCTTCCCCCAGCTGCAGGAGCACAACCAGCAGCCCTGCAAACAGTACGACCTCTGCCAAAGGCGCAGTCAGGTAGGTACATGGGGGCAGGGACACAGCGGGAGTGGGAGCCAGTGTGAGGTGAGGACCCCAGGCTTGGGCCCTGACTCCGCCCTCACTAGCTGTATGACTTCAGGTCACTTGCTCTGTGTCTGAGCCTCAATTTCTCCTCTCTCTGAAATGGGGCAGATACAGCCCATGCCCACAGCCCACTCTTCAGATTGACTCAGAAGGCACCGCCTGCGCCTGTCACAGCATTGACATGCTGGGGAGTGCTCTGCAAACCAAAGAGCAGGGGCCACTTTGTGCTGAGGCTGTGCTGAGCCCTCTCCAATGTGGCCAGGGCCTGGTGCCTGCTGTGACTGGACAGGACAAGGACTAGGTGTCAGGTCCACAACTACACCAATGTTACACTCAGGGTCAGGCTTTGAGCCCACGCTGTGGTCTGCAGGGAGTGAATGAGCAGATAGCTGAAAGAACCCTCGGCGGGGCCAAGGGCTGGTGAAATGTAGTTTTAGGCTAGATACAGTGGCTCATGCCTATAATCCCAGCACTTTGGGAGGCCGAGGCTGGCAGATCATCTGAGGTCAGCAGTTCAAGACCAGCCTGGCCAACATGGTGAAACCCCGTCTCTACTAACAAGACAAAATTAACCAGGCGTGATGGTGCATGCCTGTAATCCCAGCTACTCGGGAGGCTGAGGCAGGAGAATCGCTTGAACCCAGGAGCCAGAGGTTGCAGTGAACTGAGATTGCACCATGGCACTCCAGCCTGGGCAACAAGAGGGAAACTAAGTCTCAAAAAAAAAAAAAAAAAGAAAAGAAAAGAAAAAACGTAGTTTTATTCAGCAGCGGCAGCTCTCTCACACTAGCTCTCACACTGTCCCCCTTTATCTGGGCTGTCTGCTCTGGCTCTGTGGCTCCTGCCGCCCCCACGCCTGCAGCTGTACTCCCTGGCCTACAAGGCCAGCTCTGTCAGGGTCAGCAGTTACCTCTCTCCCTCTGGGCACAAGCTGGTTCCTGGCTCCCCGCTGCCCACCTTCAGGGTGACCGGCTCTCCCTTAAAAGGGTTAGTAGCATTATTCTCTCTCTGGGTGCGCCCATGTGCGCTGCTGTACCATGCAGAACTGAGCCCCGTGCACAGCATCAGCAAGGCAGTTATACCTTCTTCTGACAATAGAGGCTCAGAGTCAATATGAACTTACACAAACAGGCTATATAGCAAGTGGAGTATGGGCCTGCCCCCTTAACTTGCTGAGTCACTCTGGCCTGGATGTCTGCCTCCGCCTATTCCTTGACCAAAGCACATCCTTTTCCTTTTTTTTTTTTTGAGATGGAGTTTCGCTGTTGTTACCCAGGCTGGAGTACAATGGCATGATCTCGGCTCACTGCAACCTCCGCCTTCTGGGTTCAAGCAATTCTCCTGTCTCAGCCTCCTGAGTAGCTGGGACTACAGGTGTGCACCACCATGCCAAGCTAATTTTTGTATTTTTAGTAGAGACGGGGTTTCACCTAGTTGATCAGGATGGTCTTGATCTCTTGACCTCGTGATCCACCCGCCTCAGCCTCCCAAAGTGCTGGGATTATAGGCGTGAGCCACCGCGCCCGGCACATCCATGTACCTTATACTAGGCCCCACTGTGCCTAGGCCAAAGGGTAAGAGCACATCGCCGGTGAGACAAGGCAGGAGCCGGGTGCAGGAACCTGGACCCTGCCTCTGGCCAGGACTCCTCCACAACCCAGCTGGCCTCCCTCTAGAGCTCTCACCTCAGCTAAGGCAGATGGGTGAGGCAGTCACAGTGCGCTGCATGCCAGGTCAGCGCCCCCACTGAGTTCCCGTCCTCCAACACATTTTGGTTAGAAAAATGGGGTGTCTGGCCGGGCGTGGTGGCTCAAGCCTGTAATCCCAGCACTTTGGGAGGCCGAGGTGGGTGGATCACGAGGTCAAGAGATCGAAACCATTCTGGTCAACATGGTGAAACCCCGTCTCTACTAAAAATACAAAAAATTAGCTGGGCATGGTGGTGCACGCCTGTAATCCCAGCTATTCGGGATGCTGAGGCAGGAGAATTGCCTGAACCCAGGAGGCGGAGGTTGCGGTGAGCCGAGATCGCGTCATTGCACTCCAGCCTGGGTAACAGGAGCGAAACTCCGTCTCAAAAAAAAAAAAAAAAAAAAAAAGAAAGAAAGAAAAAAAGAAAAATGGGGTGTCCACCAGTATCCTCGCAGGCACCTTCCCATGTGTATGGGAATCCCCTCCAACTCTCCTCTTGCTAAGGATCCGTTTGGGGACTTGCTGAAGAAGCTCATGGACCAAATCCACGACCACCTGGAGATGCCTGAGTTGAGTCGGGACTTTGGGAAACAGACGTATGAGCAGCAGGTGGTGAAGCTGAGCGAGACTGGTGAGAGGAGCAGCCCCTCAGGCAGAGGCGAGGATGTGGGAGTGGTCAGGGGTGGGCCCTGACTGGGAGGAGGCCTTAGGGGCGGGGCCTAGCCACTCCAGGGGCGGAGTCTGAGTGGAGTTCCCTATGGGGTCGAACAGGGGGCGGGCAGGGGACAGGCAGGGCACGGGCAGGGGCCCGTTCAGACCCTACGCCCTTTACACGCAGCGGCTTTGGCTGGGCTCCTGGAGCAGCGGGTTTACGCGCTTCACCTGAGGCGCTACAATGACGCGCTCCTCATCCACGACACTGTCCGCGCCGTGGACGCCCTGGCTGCGCTGCAGAATTTCTATCAAAGGGAGCATGCCACTAAAACCCAGATCCTGTGTGCTGAGCGCTGGCTGCTGGCCCTGTTCAATGGTGAGGGACGGGAGGGGGGTTCATGGGCGGGGGTGATGGGGCCTGGATGCGAGATCAGAGGCCAGGGCACAGGTGCCAAGACCGATGGGAAGGTACCCACGAGGATACTGGTGGAGATCCTATTTTTCTAACCAAAATTCAAGGCCATGGGTAGGACGGATTTATTTCCTCATTTGGGAAGGTTTTTGCACAGTTGTTAAAATTAATTCACATTATTGACTTTTGTTTTAAGAGTCAGGGTCTTGCTCTGTCACCCAGGCTGGAGTACCGTTGTGCAATGATAGCTCACTGCAACCTCGACCTTCTGGGCTCAAGTGATTTTCACGCATCAGCCTCCTGAGTAGCCAGGACTACAGGTGGGCACCACCACTCCCTGCTAATTAAAATTTTTTTTGTAGAGGTGGAGTCTCTCTTTGTTGCCCAGGCTGTTCTCTAACTCCTGTGCTCGAGTGATCCTTCTACCTCTGCTTCCAAAGTGCTTCGATGACAGGCATGAGGCACTGTGCCTGGCCCAGATTTTTTTATTTTACTTATTTATTTATTTTAAAGATGGGGTTTCATCATGATGGCCAGGCTGGTCTTGAACTCCTGACCTCAGGTGATCCACCCACCTCGGCCTCCCAAAGTGCTAGGATTACAGGCTTGAGCCACCGCACCTGGCGGCCCAGATTTTTTTAAACTGCTAGTTAGAAGTGATTCCTTTAGACTGGGAGAGTGAGGCTGAAAGTCAGAGGGTGAAATTTAAGGCTGAAAATCTCAGCACAGCCTGGGACTCAAAAGATCTGGGTAGCAGAGGTCAGAGTGAAAAGTTTAAGGGTCATCCTGGTGGCTGGGTTGAAGGGCTGTGGTCTGAGGTTCTGTACTGTATGACCCTGGTGTGAGGCTGGCCTTGAGAGTGGGCTTGGCAGGAGGTGTCCTTTTTGTTTGTTTTTGTTTTTGCTTTGAGAGGGAGTCTCATTGTCACCCTGACTGGAGTACGGTGGCGTGATCACAGCTCAAGTGATCCTCCCACCTCAGCCTCCTGAGTAGCTGGGACTACAGGGGTGCACCAGCACGTCCAGCTACTTTTTGTATTTTTTTGTAGAGAGGGGGTTTCAGCGTGTTGTCCAGGCTGGTCTTGAACTCCTGACTTGAAATGATCCACCCACCTTGGCCTCTCAATGTGTTGGAATTACAGGCGTGAGACACTGTGCCCATTCGAGGCATCCTTAAATGTGTCTTGGTGCTCCTGGTGAGGGAGTCAAGCAGGAGGTCCATCCTCCCCCCGCCCCCACCTTCTGCACTCCTATTCCTGTGACCACCTCCTCCACCAGTGCCCTCCCCACTCCAAGACCTGAATCCTCTGCCTCTGTTTTGGGTTGGTCGGTCTCCCTCCTTCTCTCTCTCCTTCCCTCCCTCTCTCCCTCCCTCCTTCCCTCTCTCTCCCTCCCTCCCTCCCTTCCTTCCTTCCTCTCTTCCTTTTTCTTCCTTTCCTTTCTTTCTTTCCCTTCTTTTCTTCCTTTCTTTCTTTTCCTTCCTCTGTCGCCAGGCTGGAGTACAGTGGTGCAATCTTGGCTCACTGCAACTTCCACCTCCTGAGTTCAAGCAATTCTCCTGCCTCAGCCTCCTGAGTAGCTGGGATTACAGGTGTGCACCACCATGCCCAGCTAATTTTTAGTAGAGATGAGGTTTCACCATGTTGGCCAGGATGGTCTTGATCTCTTGACCTCATGATCTGCCTGCCTCAGCCTCCAAAGTTCTGGGATTACAGGTGTGAGCCACTGTGCCCAGCCTCTTTCCTTCCTTTCTATTCTTTTCTTTCTTTCTTTCTTTCTTTTTGATACAGAGTCTCACTCTATTACCCAGATTAGAGTACAGTGGTACAATTATAGCTCTCTTCATCCTTGATCTCCTGGGCTCAAGCAATCCTTCTGCCCTCAGCCTCACAAATAGCTGGGACTACAGACATGCGCCACTACACCTGGCAAACTTTTTGGGGTTTTCAACAGACCACAAGGATATGCTGGCCCACTTGGCAACTCATGGCCTGGAGAATCCAAAACTGGAGATGCTGGAAAAGATCCTGCAGAAGCAGTTCAGGAGCTCTGACAGCCCCCGGGGCATCATCTTCACCCGCACCCGCCAGAGTGCGCACTCCCTCCTGCTCTGGCTCCAGCAGCAGCCGGGCCTGCAGACTGTGGACATCCGGCCCCAGTTACTGATTGGATCTGGGAACAGCAGCCAGAGAACCCACATGACCCAGGTGTGGGCTTTGGGGCAAGACGATGGTGGTGGCGGGGATTCCATAGGAGACAAGTGTGGGGAACAGGGTCTTGAGCACAGAGAGGTGGGGACAGGGAGACCCTAGGGGAAGAAGGTTGACTATCCCAAGGCAGAGGGTCAGGGAACTGGGGGAGGGGGGCAGACACTGACATCCCCAGTGCTGAAGCCTCTCCCAGTCTGGGGGTCCCTGGAGACAGAAGGGTAGGGCATGGGGGTCTGTAGGATCTGTGATGCAGATCCTCAGGGCAGATCAGGTCTGGGGTCCCTTGCAGGAGAAGATTATGGCTTGGGAGTTGTTCCTAGAGGGTTAGGGACCCTTAGAGTCCCTAGGGAAGTTAGGGGTTAGATAGGCATCTGGGAAGATGGGCATGCTCCTGAGGGTACCTGGAGATAGAGATGGGATTCAAGTGCTCTAGGGAGATGGACCAAGATTGAGAGTGAGGGCTGAACCAGGAGAGGCTGCTCTGACAGGGGGGGTCAGCCTGAGCCACCTCATGTGCCAGCCTCTTTCTCCTCCCCGCCCTCCCCCTGCAGAAGGACCAGCAAGAAGTGATCCGGAAGTTCCGAGATGGAACCCTGAACCTTCTGGTGGCCACCAGTGTGGCGGAGGAGGGGCTGGATATCCCACAGTGCAACGTGGTGGTGCGCTATGGGCTCCTAACCAATGAGATCTCCATGGTCCAGGTGCTCACACGCCCACTTCCACTCGGCAGCCCTCACAGGATCCTGTGTGGGGCCCCAGCCCAACTCAGAACTGCCCTTGTCTCCCTTCCCAGGCCAGAGGTCGTGCCCGAGCGGGTGAGAGTGTGTACTCATTTGTAGCAACTAAGGGTAGTCGGGAGCTGCAGCGGGAGCTGATCAACGAGGCGCTGGAGACGCTGATGGAGCAGGCAGTGGCTGCTGTGCAGAAAATGGACCGGGCCGAGTACCAGGCCAAGGTCTGCCGGCGGCCTGCATGCCCTGTGGGAGGGATGGGGCGGAGGGAGCACTCCCTGGCAGGTTTCTGACTGCACACATATGTCCCCCTGTCTCCTCTACATCTCAGAGCTAAATTTGCCCACCTAGGGAAGGTTTGGAGAGAGGCCAGGTGTGGGGCTGCCAGGGAAGGCAGTGCCTGGACTCCAGAAGGCCTTGGGAACAGGCCTTATCCAGGGCTTTTTATTTATCCTCGCCACGAGATACTTTATATATCTGCAAGAGCTGCATTACAGCCCTTCTGGAACCAGGCAGAGGGGATGAGATAAGTTCACGTGCAGAAGATAAGTCCAGAACTAGGACTTATAGCATCAGTTCCCTGAGGCAGGGCCACTACCTGGTCTAGGGTGTTCCTTGTTATCCCAGCATAATTGTTAATGATGCCCCATGACAGGGTCACAGAAGTAGCTTTGCCTGAAATCCTTCAAAGATGAAGCAACGATTCAGCAAGAAAGCTTACCTCTCCCACTGTTGCCCCCACTACCCATACTGTTTCTCTCCATAGCTTCTTCCCCTCCCCCCCCCCCCAGACAGTCTTGCTCTGTCACCCAGGCTGAGTGCAGTGGTGCATTCTCTGTCTCAGCCTCTCGAGTAGCTGGGATTACAGGCATGTGCCACCATGTCTGGCTAATTTTGTATTTTTGGTAGAGACGGAGTTTTACCATGTTGGCCAGGCTGGTCTCGAATTCCTGACATCATGATCCACCTGTCTTGGCGTCCTAAAACGCTGGGATTACAGATGTGAGTCACTGAGCCTGGCAACACAGCCTCTTTTAAGAGAGCTCCAGGGAAGGTTAAGGAAATTCTTCCGGGTACAGATGATCTCAGATCTTTGGAACCCTTTGTCCCCCAGGGACCATTCTCTTAACCCCCAGCCATGCCTGGTGTCCCTTCCCACCCCAGATCCGGGATCTGCAGCAGGCAGCCGTGACCAAGCGTGTAGCCCAGGCAGCCCAGCGCGAGAGCCAGCGGCAGCAGTTCCCCAAGGAACACGTGCAGCTACTCTGCATCAACTGCATGGCGGCTGTGGGCCATGGCAGTGACCTGCGGAAGGTGGAGGGCGCCCACCACGTCAACGTGAACCCCAACTTCTCGTGAGACCTATGGAAGGGGCTATCAGGATGGGGGTGTGGGATGGGGTACTGGGAATCCTTCCCATCCGGTGTTTTGAAGCTTTGGGAGGCTGAAGAGCATTGTAGTAAGTACTGATTCTGCATTTTCACAATAAGCTGGTTAGGCAGGTTTTATCCCTGTCCCCATTTTACAGGCAAGGAAATAGAGGCTCAGAAAGGCTACATGACTTGCCCTAGTTCCCACAGCCATTCTCTGGTTGAGAAAGAACCGGAATTCAGGAGGATACTGAGTGTCAAAAGACCACACATTGATCCTCTGGTTCTACCTACTGTGAGGATATCAAGAGAGCCTGGCTGTCCCTGAGCCATCCCCCATCCTCTGTCTCCTAAAGAGTGACCTTCCCCCATCCTGTATCCATTTATTATGTCACCCTCTGTGTTCAGGCCACTGTGCCAAGGATCTTCACACAGGTTTTCTCAATTGAGGAGGTCGCATTTCAGCTAGGTTTCAATGGGACTGGTTTGAATGTGAGCAAATGAGAAGGTAACCATGGAGGGCAGGGCACAGTGACTCATGCCTGTAATTCCAACACTTTGGGAGGCCGAGGCAGGTAGATCACTTGAGGTTAGGTGTTCAAGACCAGGCTGGCCAACATGGTGAAACTCCTCTTTTTTTTTTTTGGGTCGGGAAACTGGTCTCACTCTGTTGCCAGGCTGGAGTGCAGTGGTATGATCTCAGCTCACTACAGCCTCTGCCTCCCAGGTTCAAGTGATTCTCCTGCCTCAGCCTCCCAAGTAGCTGGGACTATAGGCATGCGCCACCATGCTGGGCTAATATTTATATTTTTGGTAGAGATGGGGTTTCACCATGTTGGTCAGGATGGTCTAGATCTCTTGACCTCCTGATCTGCCCGCGTTGGCCTCCCAAAGTACTGGGATTATAGGCATGAGCCACCATGACTGGCTGAAATCCCTTCTCTACTAAAAAAAAAAAAAAAAAAATACAAAAAATTAGCTGGGCATTGGGACGCATGCCTGTAATCCCAGCTACTTGGGTGGCTGAGGCATGAGAATCATTTGAACCCAGGAGGCAGAAGTTGCAGCAAGCCAGGATCGCACCACTGCACTCCAGGCTCGGTGATAGAGCAAGACTCTGTCTCAAAAAACAAAACAAAAAACCGGTTGACCTGAGTGGAAGGGACTGTAAATAATGAGATTTAGAAAGAAACAGACTAGCCTGTGGAAGATCTTAAAGGTCAGGTGTGAAAGTGTAGCCTTTATCCAGGAGGTTCTTAGAAATCTTGGATGGATTGGCCGGGTGCGGTGGCTCACGCCTATAATCCCAGCACTTTGGGAGGCCGAGGCGGGTGGATCACTAGGTCAAGAGATTGAGACCATCCTGGTCAACATGGTGAAACCCTGTCTCTACAAAAAATACAAAATTTAGCTGGGCATGGTGGCGCAGCCTGTAGTCCCAGCTACTCAGGAGGCTGAGGTAGGAGAATCACTTGAACCCAGGAGACGGAGGTTGCGGTGAGCTGAGATTGCGCCATTGCACTCCAGCCTGGGTAACAAGAGTGAAACCCCATCTCAAAAAAAAAAAAGGCTGGGTGCGGTGGCTCAAGCCTGTAATCCCAGCACTTTGGGAGGCCGAGGCGGGTGGATCACTAGATCAAGAGATCAAGAGCATCCTGGTCAACAAAGTGAAACCCCGTCTCTACTAAAAATACAAAAAATTAGCTGGGCATGGTGGCACGTGCCTGTAATCCCAGCTACTCAGGAGGCTGAGGCAGGAGAATTGCCTGAACCCAGGAGGCAGAGGTTGCAGTGAGCCGAGATCACGCCATTGCACTCCAGCCTGGGTAACAAGAGCGAAACTTTGTCTCAAAAAAAAAAAAAAAAAAAATCTTGGATGGATTTTAAGCAAAGGGATGTCAGGGCAGATTTATATTTTTAGATTACTCTAGCAGTTGGTGGAAGGATGGCTTGATATTGGGAGTAAGAATGGAGGCAGAGAGACTTGTTAGGAAACTGTGAAGACCAGGTAAGCGATGCTGAGCTTGAGCCTGGGCACAAGAGAGTGTGTGATGGAGTCCACACAGGTAGAACTCGCCAAAGACTGGATTTTCTAGCCTAGGAAGTCTGTGCCTCCTGACCAGCAGGAAAGCCCAAGGTCCAGGCAGGGGCTTGGCCAGTAGGAGGGCATGAGATCTGGGGCTGAGGAAGGTCAATGAGGGCTGTGGCCACCCCACTTCCTCTCCAGGATCTACTATAACGTCTCCAAAGAGCCTGTGGTCATCAACAGAGTCTTCAAGGACTGGAAACCTGGGGGTGTCATCAGCTGCAGGAACTGTGGGGAGGTAAGAGCTTGGGCCATGTCCCAGGCCCCAGAGTCCTCAGCCCCAGTCTTCAAGAGGCCCTCACTAAGACAGGGGAGACAGTCCCACCCCATGGCCTCCAGTCTGAAGAGGGAGGTTCAGCCCCTGTCTAAGGGAGCCCACAGTGTATGACAGCCTCAGGTGGGAAGCAAAGGTCCTGTATTCACGGAATTCCAACTTGAGAGAATCCCAGTCTGAGGCCGGAGACCCAGACCCTACTCTCTCTGTCTCACCCCAGGTCTGGGGTCTGCAGATAATCTACAAATCAGTGAAGCTACCAGCGCTCAAAGTCCGCAGCATGCTTCTGCAGACCCCTCAAGGGCGGATTCAGGCCAAAAAGTGGTCCCGCGTGCCCTTCCCTGTGCCTGACTTTGACTTCCTGCAGCACTGTGCCCAGAACCTGATGGACCTCTCCTTGGACTGACCACCTTGTTGCTGCAGTACCCGGCTCGGGCTGTAGGGGGCAGGAGAGTCCACAGCTGCAGTCGTCTTCCCTGGGATACAGCCTGGTCCAGGCCCCTCTTTCTGGAATCACCAGCTGTGGGCATCAGGCCCACCAGTCACAGAGGAGTCCTGGGCATCCTGGCTTGGGCATCCTGGCTTAGGCTCCCGAAATGGGGAAGCAACTGGAGGGCCAGACCTCAGCCCCGGACCCACCTCGGACGCACATAGTCATTTTCATATGCACTGGATGGAGTTGGGGAAACGGAGGCAAAAGAATTGCCACACTTTGGACTTGGCTGCCATTAAAAATAAAAATAAAAAAAAACAAAGAGCTGGTCCGAGTGCAGTGGTGTTTACAACTAATTGATCACAGCCAGTTACAGATTTGTTACTTCTTCACTCCCACTGCTTCACTTGACTAGCCTAAAAAATAAAGAAATAAATAAATTGCCATACTATACTCTGAATCATCACATTCTTTCCCTACCAAGGCCACTTCTAATTTTTGAGGTTCTTTATAAAAATAAATGGCTCACACCTGTAATCCAAGCACTTTGGAGGCCAAGGTGGGTGGATCACCTAGGGTCGGGAGTTCTAGACCAGCCTGACCAATATGGTGAAACCCCATCTTAAAAAAGAAAAAAAAGAAGATTGTCATGTCTAAAAAAGATAAACACAAAAAAGAAAAGAAAATATTGTCATGTCTAGATTTAAATTTTAAGTCTGAGGTTTTAAATGTTTTTGAGCTTAGAAAACCTAGTTGGATGCAATTTGGTCATTAATACCATCATATCTTGCTTACAAATATTCCATTGTTCTGTAGTTTAAATCTATTTGCTTTATGAAAATTCATCACTGTGATGCCTGTATTCTTTTTTCCCTTTTTATTCTGTTTAACAGAATATGAGCTGGCTGTCATTTACCCACCTCTTTCCCACTGAATAAATGAATTATTTAGTTTCCCTGTAAAAAAATAAATAAATGGAAACATGGGGTAGAAAATGTGTGGTGTCTTAACTTTGTTGGAATATAATTGGTAGAAAATAAACTGCATGCCGGGTGTGGTGGCTCACCCCTGCAATCCTAGCACTTTGGGAGGGTGAGGTGGGTGGATCACCTGAGGTCAGGAGTGCAAGACCAGCCTGGCCATCATGGTGAAACCCCATCTTAAAAAGAAAAAAAGAAACTGCACATATAGTGTGCAATTGGATACTTTTTTTTTTTTTTTAGACAGTTTCACTCTTGTTGCCCAGGCTGGAGAACAGTGGCACGATCTAGGATCATTGCAACCTCCACCTCTGGGTTCAAGTGATTCTCCTGCCTCAGCCTCCCGATTAGCTGGGATTACAGGTACACACCACCACACCTAGCTGATTTTTTTGTATTTTTAGTAGAGATGGGGTTTCACCCTGTTGGCCAGGTTGGTCTGAAACTCCTGACCTTGGGCAATTCGTCTGCCTCAGCCTCCCAAAGTGCTGGGATTACAGGCTTGAACCACTGCATCCTGCCTGGATATGTTTTATCATGCATATCCTCCACAATCAAGATAATGAACATAGCTATCAGCCTCAAAATTTCCTGTTTCTTCCAGTGGAATTTTCAAAGAATAACAAAAGTTCCCTGGTTCCCCATTGTAATCCATACCTCTCATCCTTCCCCGTCTAATGACCTGCTTTGCGGTAATTTTTAGTGTTAAGTGTTTGGTTTTTTTGAGACAGAGTCTTGCTCTGTCCCCCAGGCTGGAGTGCAGTGGCGCGATCTCAGCTCACTGCAACCTCTGCCTTCTGGGGTCAAGTGATCCTCCTGCCTCGGCCTCCCAAGTAACTGGGATTGCAGGTGTCTGCCACCGTGCCTGGCTAATTTTTGTTTCTTTTGGTAGTGACAGGGTTTCACCATGTTGCCTAACAGGCTGGTCTTAAACTCCTGAGCTCAGATGATCCACCCACCTTGTCCTCTTAAAGTGCTGGGATTACAGGCAAGAGCCACTGAGCCCTGCTTTGTATTTTTTGTTTTTGTTTTGTTTTTAAGACAGGGACTCACTCTGTTGCCCAAGCTGCAGTACAGTAGTGTAATTGTGGCCCACTGCAGCCTTGACCTCCCAGGCTCAAGCAATTCTCCCACCTCAACCTCCTTAGTACCTGGGACTACAGGTGTATACCACCATACCTAATTTTTTGGGGGTGGGGGGTGGTGTATAGACAAGGTCTCACTATGTTGCCCAGGCGGGTCTCCAATTCCTGGGCTCAGATGATCCTCCCAAAGTGCTGGGATTACAGGCATGAGCCACTGTGCCTGGCCTAGTGTTAAAAGTTTTAGGCCGGGCACAATGGCTCACCCTTGTACTCCCAGCATCTAAGGAGGCTAAGGTGGGCGGATCACCTGAGGTCAGGAGTTTGACCATTATGGTGGCCATTATGGTGAAACCCCGTCTCTACTAAAAATACAAAAATTAGCTGGGTGTAGTGGGTCGCCTATAATTCCAGCTACTCAGGAGGCTGAGTCAGGAGAATCGCTTGAACCCGAGAGGAGGAGGTTGCAGTGAGCTGAGATCACGCCACTGCACTCCAGCCTGGGTGAAAGAGTAAGACCCAACTCATTAAAAAAAAAAAAGTTTTAGGCCGGGTGCGGTGGCTCACGCCTATAATCCCAGCACTTTGGGAGGCCGAGGCGGGTGCATCACAAGGTCAAAAGATCGAGACCATCCTGGTCAACGAGGTGAAACCCCCGTCTCTACTAAAAATACAAAAATTAGCTGGGCATGGTGGTGCGCGCCTGTAGTCCCAGCTACTCAGAGGGTTGAGGCAGGAGAATTGCTTGAACCCAGAAGGCGGAGGTTGCAGTGAGCCGAGATTTTGCCATTGCACTCCAGTCTGGGTAACAACAGCGAAACTCCATCTCAAAAAAAAAAAAAAGGAAAGTTTTAAACACTTCCTCTTTTTGAGACAGTCTTGCCCTATAGCCCAGGCTGGAGTGCAATGGTGCAATCTCGACTCACTGCAACCTCTGCCTCTTGGGTTCAAGAGATTCTCCAGTCTCAGACTCCCAAGAAGCTGGGATTATAGGCACCCACCACGAAGCCAGGCTAATTTTTGTATTTTCAGTAGAGACAGGGTTTCACCATGTTGGCCAGGCTGGTCTCCAACTCCTGACCTCTTGGTCCGCCCACCTGGGCTTCCCAAAGTGCTGGGATTACAGGTGTGAGCCACTGCACCCGGCGTAAACACTCCTCTTTAATGGCTCTCCTAAGCCTTTTTCATAAAGAGTATCAACAGTCTCAACTTGAGGCCTATGAAGTGTGTGAGGGCTTTCCTGCTCCCCCTTCCCCATAATAGCTTCCAACCCCAATGTCCCCGCTCTACCTTCCCTTAACCTTCAGGTTATCTTCCCTAGGCTGGGGAGAAGCTGAGATCTGGCATTTGAGGGGTGGGCTCAGGTAGGCATGGGGGTGGGGAGAATTACAAAGGCCTAAATTTACTGTTCTCATTTTAACAAGAAAGGAAAAGAAAGGCAAGATCTAGGTTGATTCATCAGGGAAAGGGCTATTTCTGTAGTAAAAGGCCCAGCAGGCAGGAGGCACCTTCAAGAGGAAGGGAGGGGGCTAGGGCAGAGATTTGAGAGGATGGCAGTCCTTCCTGCCGTCTAACCTCCTTCCCTCCTGCTACATCCTTGGTCCTGTCCCCAGGTAGATGGGAAATGCATCCTCTTTTCTCCCATAATTTTATTTTTTCTGTAGGCCTCTTGTCTGATTGAGGGCTGAAATTCCAGTTTTCATCTTTTTGGCTACCATCTCCCCTAGAGAGTGTACCCCTCTTCCCCAAGGCCCCCTTCCTTCTCCTCTCCAAGTGTCCTTGGCCGTGACTCCAGAAGTCTCCTTCCTCCTCCCTCCTGTCCCATCTCCAGCTGCCTCCCTGGGGGAGAGTTGCTCATCCTCTCCCCACTTTGCCTTCAGTTAGTATACTGCCAGCCAGCAACGTGCTTTTTACAGGTCAATAAAATTAGCGACTGGAGGCAGAGGGAGGGGGCAGGGGCTCAGGGGTGCTAAGCTCAACGGCCTTGAATGTGGCTAGACTCACGGAGTCAGGAAGCCTGTCATTCCAGGGCTAAACAGTGACAGCTGGGGGACCTGGGCTGGCACTAGGGGCGGAGGAGGGGCTGTGTGGCAGGGAGAGAGATAGGCTGAGAATAAAGATGGGCTGGGTGCCTCATGGCCCCTCAGCAGCCTAAGCCCCTACCCAGCTGACCCCTGGAGAGGGCACCCTACCTTTGGGGGAGGTGTCCGGTCGCACACCCACCCTGCCAGGTCTGAAGAGCTCAGATGGAAGGGGAACAAGGACCCGGAGAGGTTTCTGAGCTTTCTTTTTCGTGTGAGGGGTCTTTATATGAAGTCACCTGCTCCAGGGCATGTGGGCAAGGCTGTCTGAAGGGGGGATTTCCGCCCCGCCCCCGTCCCACGCATGTGCCCGCAGTCCTAACTTCTCAGCCTTCAGAAGAACTCGAGCTCGGGGCCCTCCCTGTGGCCCAGATGCTCCCCCGGGACGTCCCACCTGAATGAGCCAGCGCACCCCACCTGCGGGGCCTCGAGGAGGGGCCGGGCCGGGCCCGGCTCCCCCTCCCAGCCCCGCCTCCGCCCCGCCGGGCCCCGCCCCTCTCGGCCAGCCCGAAACGCAGCGCTCCCAGCCAGGCGAGAGCAGGTGGCCGCGGCGGGCTCCGTCTCTGCCCTGCAGGTAAGACGGCAACGCGGGCTGGTCCACGCCGAGGACCTCTAGGGCAGAGCGGGAGAACGAGGCAGCCCCTTCCACCTGTCCAGTCCTCTCGCCTCAAAACTGGGGGACAGTGAGGATATCCCTATCTTGGCTCTGTGCGCCGACGTTGGGCATCTGCTGGACGGGACTGAACTCTGGGGCAATTAGAGGGTCCTGGTTGGTTATCCCTAATGCCAGGCGTGCTCCGAGGGATGGAAAAGGCAGAGCCGGGCATTAGACGCGCAGCTTTCTGGAGTGGGGCAGGTTGGGGATGGTGTCGACGGGGCTCCGGAGTCAGGAACCTCGTTGACAGAGAGCGCGCCATGCCTCATCCAAAGGCAGCCTCTTCCCCACGATAGAGGGTGATGACTTGACCCAAACGGTTTCTGTTCTGTGGACTAATGAGGTAAGAGCCACCGGATCGTTGAGCTGGGGCCTGGGTTTCCTAACGAGCCCCTGGGCACCCGCATCATTTATTTACATCTGGGTACGGGGCGGGGGTGGGGGGAGGTGAGCAGGGGATTACCCCGATGGCCTAGGAAACCCAGAAAGTCTGGGAACTTAGTAGATCTCTTTTGTGTCCGTGTCACAGAGCCGACTGGGGATCACAGATGTGGCCTTATGGTAGACAGGGGAGCATTTGCATACTCAGTGTTGGGATTTGGGCTGTAGGAAAGGGGTCCTGCCTCCCAGGACCTTGAGGAAGGCTTCCTGGAAGAGGAAGCCCTGGGCTGATAGCTTGGATGTGACGTGCTTAGAGCTCTGAGCCACTAAGGAGAGGCAGCCTTTGGGTCTTGGTGCTGGGTTGAGGTAGAGCAGGGGACCCTGGACTGTAGAACAAAGGGAAGTCAGGATGTTACTGTCTGGGTCCAGCTGGGACCCAGGGATCTTCCTGAGATCATCACAAGCCTTTGGACAGAAATGGGTGACAATGAGGGGAGGGGGGCTTCCCTTCCTCGTCTGTCTAGATTCCCCATTCCACTGCCTCATTCCACCACAGAAACCATCAGAGGCAGAAGTTCATTCTCATATCTGACCTTCCTCTTTTCTGCATCTGTGCCAGCTTCTTGCTTCTGGGGGGCTGTGTGCTCTAGTGGAAAAACTGGGGGCTTTGGGGTCAGACCTGAGTTCTAACACCTCTACCTACTTTGTGACCTCGAACAAGTTTCTTAACCTGTTTGAGCTCACCTCCTCACCTGTAAAATGGGGATAATAACAGAACCCACCTCATAGGGTGACTGCAAGGATTAAATGAGAGTA